CCCGACGCTCCCCCTGCGGGGCGGCCGCTGGGACTAGCGCTCGGGGCGCGTCGCGCCTTCTCGCCGTCGCCCGGTGCTTTTCTTTCTGACCTTGGCCGCGGGTCAGAGTTGGCCGGCGTCGCGTCGCGCGCCCTCCCTGGAGGCCAGACGGAGACGTCAAGCTGGAGAGAGAGCGCTTCCCCGCGGCCGGCCGCCCCGCGCGCACAGCCGCGGCCCCCCTCGCTGTGCCGGGCGCGGCAATATGAAGGAGCAGCCCTCATGTGCGGGCACCGGGCATCCGAGCATGGCGGGGTACGGCAGGATGGCCTCCTTTGAACTCGCTGGCGGCCCCGCGAAGCGCCGCAGAACTGAGCCCCCCTTTCCCTATCTCTTCGCAGAGGAGGCCTACCAAAAACTGGCCAGCGAGACCCTGGAGGAGCTGGACTGGTGTCTGGACCAGCTAGAGACCCTGCAGACCAGGAACTCCGTCAGTGAAATGGCATCCAACAAGGTAAGCCCCAGGGCGGCGCGGCTGTCACCCACGCCCTTCAGCGGCCGAGTTGCTCGCTAGAGAAGCCACCGGCCCCCACGATCTAAGGACGGCCAGACAGACAGCGGTCACCCTCACTGCATGTGGCCGTGCCCCCTCCCCCCGCAATTAACGTGGTCCCCCTGCCCCTCCCATGCCTTCCAGGTGCAATAATGATTCTGCACACGCTGTTTAGACACAGTTTGCAGGACCCCGCAAGACAGAAGGGTTGGTTTATTCCGGGGGTTCCCAAGTGACACTTTTGCCCTTGCCGCAGACACCTGGGAGCGCCCATTAGCGTTGGACATTTAAAGGTGTTCTTGGGACCCCCCAGTTGGAAATCAGACTTGTCTGCTGGCCTTGGAGTTACCACTTTGCACACTGCAAACTCGGAAGAGTTCTCCCACAGCGTGCCACCTTCACCCTCCTGTATCTGATCGTCCGGGTGTCAGACGGAGCCTTTATGTATGCAGTTGCCCACGGCCGTCCTCTGGCAGGACCCATCCGAAAAGTTAGAAGCTTCTTTGTGATCAGTGCCTTGGTTGCTTGGAGCGAAAGGCCCTTGTGTCCGGAGGTCATGGAGTTGCAATAGTGCTTCTACCGGGCCTTAGGACCCTATGGACCAAAGTGCTGGTGTTTTCTGTTACGGAGCTCTGGGGTTGAGTGGACCTAGAGGGCCGGGACCCCAGGTAGAGTTCTTGCACTTTTGCTGTATTTTCGAGGGGTAGGGCGTGATGGGTGGTGGTGGTGGGATGCCTGTTCTTATGCTTCTAATGACTGGCCAGGAAAGGAGACTTGTGAATGTTGGATGCAGATGGCTAATCAGCCAGTAAGAGCTGGCAACTCTGTGTGGGGTGGCAACTAGAAATCGATGCCTCGGAAAGATGTTGAAGTCACTTGGGCCGCTGTGTTACAAGGTCATTTACTATGTCGCTCCATGCACGTACATATTTCAGTGAGTCAGTGCTGTTTGGTTTGGGCTTCTTCTTGCTTTTCTTCTTTTGGTCTAACTCTACTTTTCATCCCACCTGTTTTTTCCTTGCTCTGTTCTTAAATGATTTTACTTGAGCGCCTGAACTTGTGCATTGCTTATGCAGGTGGCATTTCCTATGCAACGGAGGAAATGGGGGCTTCAAATAAACCAGTACAATCAAAGGGGACCCCAGTCATTGTCCTGCAGGCGAGTCTCCTATTCTCATCTATCAATATGCACCCTGGTGATCAAATGTTTTGTTTGATTTTCTCCTTTGGGCCCCGTTTCTACATTTAGTGTGGCTCTCCTTCAAAGTACCCAGTATTGCTCTCTCTACCAGGACTTTCTAAACCCCACCCCAACACACCACACACCACACACACACACACATACACACACACACACACACACCTGTGGCATCAGGTGCCATCTCATGTAACTGCCCAGCTCTTTGGTCCTAATGAGTTTAACAAAACCACAAACTAGTTTCTCCTAATTTGATTCCGAGACTTAGAGTGTCTTAAGGACTGAGCAGTAGATTTACAGTGTCTTAAATTCTGAGGTCATACTCCTGTTGTCTGGCAAATTCTGTGTTGCCAGAAGAAAGATAGAACCTTGGAGAAGTTAAGGAGATGTGCAAGCATTTGTTTATGTTCTCAAGATGATTTGACAGTCCTCTTACAAAAAAAAAAAAAACCCAACTCCAATCTGGAGCAGCTATTGATGAGACCTGTGCTTAAATTTAAAAACTAACATGAAATCAAACAATGTATGATAAATGACTTAAGATCAAAGAAAATCGGAAGTCACAATAATAGCTCAAATGATTATCTCTTTCTTTGAAAAGCCCCAAATAAAACAGGAGATTTTTATTCATTTTTAATCTCTATGTGGGTGGGCCCCCAAGTCAGGCTCTGAGTTAATTTATAGGTTTAGAATGGGAGCTGAATTAATTTATGCGGGTGAAGGGTGGGGGAGGGGGATATAGGTAAAGTGAAAACACTTTGCTGGAATGTGGTTATTATAGTAGCTGTCCTGCCTTGTGATTGAAAGATTATTGATTTAACACCTCTTTTAAAAATTAAAGGCCACTCAGCCGACCTGTTGCTTAAACTTTTAAGGTAGAAGCCATTCATTTCTTTTTCAATAACCCATACATTTCTAAATAAGTGCTAAATCAAAGGGCTTTTTGATGCACGAGAAAGGATTAGCACAAAAAGAAGAAAAGATTGTGGAGTTTCCCTCTCGCTTGTTAAAATCAACCCAGACTTAACGAAACGAACTGCATCTAGTCAATGCCAACTCACAGCGACCCCAAGAGGACAGGCTAGAACTGACCCTATGCGTTTCTGAGACTGCTACTCTTTAGGAGAGTAGAAAGCCCCCCTTTCTCCCCTTGCTTGCTGCAAGGGCACAACTAGCACACATCCCCATGAGCTGTGAAGGGAACTGGAGCAGCTGACTTGAAGGTCAGCCTTGAAGCCCTACCTTAATTTTGAAGTAGAAATATGCACCCTTGCATGACAGAGCCAGGGGGGTTGTTGGTCTCTGAAGTATGAATTAAAACAAAAGACAAAACTGGACTCGCTTAATGACCATGCGTTTTCAAGGGTTGGAATATGAATGAATTGCCTTCTGGTGATTTGTTTACCATTCGTGTCCCCCCCACCCCCCATATACTTGTTCAAATCAGCCAAGGTTTTGGGGTGATTTTCTGCCTCTGAGAAACCACGACATTTTCCCGTTTGCTCTGAGGTACTCTAAGTAGTGCAGTCAGTAGTATCGTAAAAACACGCGTACGGAATCAGGATATTTTAAGTACGAGTCGAGGGATGGTATTTATTAGGGAAATGGATTTGGGTGGGAGGAAGAAAGAAATTGATTTCACTCCGCAAATTGAGTTCGCTAATTATTCATAGATTTGAAAAAGCAGTCCTTCACTTGGTTTCTTTTCCCCGAGCTTCAGAGCCACAGCTAGTGTCCCTGTCTAGGTGCACAATGGGGATGCAGCTACTTGGGGTGGAGGCAAGAAATGAAGGCATTCTTGGCGGAAGCTCACATTGACTAGCACATGTAAGCCGCTTGTACCGAATGGGGTAAGTTCAGAGAATCCAGATGGCATTTAATTTGAGTGGCTACATCTCTCTCCAGCATTTACCCTCGTAAGCACATTAATCAATCTGCCCGAGATGTGTGCACATGCCCTTGGAGACCTCATCACTCTCGTTGGCAGCGGTTTGGGGAGGTCTCACTGCTGTGGAGGCAGCAGACCCAGAGGAGAATCATGGTTTCTCCCTTTGCCAGCGAGTTACTTTTTTTTGGAGACATTGCTTAAACTTTTTTTAAACTTCAATTTTCTTACCATAAATTGGGGGTAATAGTACCTACTTTATATGCCAATCTAGGGGCTAGAAAGAATACAGACAGATTGTTGATGCAGGGTTTGACAGCAGTTAAAGCCCTGGTGACGATGTTGATTAAGTGTTAGACGGCCAAACTGCAAGGCCAGCAGTTCAAACCCACCAGCTGCACCTTTAGAAAAAGATGAGCCTAGCTGCCCTGGTATGGATGTATAACCTTGGAAACCGTCTATGAGGGTCACTCTGAGTTGGAATCATCTCCATGGTGGCAGTGGGTTGGGTTTGTGTTTGAGTGTATGCCTCTTGTTATCATTGCTCTTTGGGGTTTAGCTCAGATGTCATTGGCTGTCTGTTTGCTACCAGTTGATTGTGAGTCATACTGACCCGGGAGGGCAAGAAGTGCCCCATAGGGTTTCCAAGGCAGTAGTCTTTTTTTTAAAACAGTTTGGCGCGTAATCCACATATCATACAATTCTATAGTTCAACTCTATCAAGAATTGTACAGTCATTGCCTCCAATCAACTTTAGATCATTTTCTTTTTTTCATGGCTAAATGACTTTTAAAATGAGTTGTGTAATCACAATCAGTTCTTGTGTTCCCTCTCTTCTCCCTGTCTCTCACCACCCCACCCCTATAACCCCCTGCATCCGTTCTTATCTCTGTACATCTACTCCTGTGCTTCACATCACAAACTGGTAAAACCAACAGAAACAACAAAAAAGCATAACAAAATAAAGTGGTAAGGATAAAATAATAATATAAAGATTAAAATACAAATAATAAATAAGAAGAAAAAATACCACCATCAGTATTTAAAAGGCCAGGGAAGAAGTTTTTGTCATGGGGCAAGCAAGAAATACTTGCACCTAGAATAATTTCAGGTTGGGTCAAGAGGGAGGCCAACTGACCTAGTATCAAGTTCGATCCAGTATAATCACAATTACAATGATCTCTATCTGATAGTGCAGCTGTTAGAAACCCTTGTCTGTGGCTAGAAGGGATCTGCCCGCTGCTTAATCTGACTAGCTACTCTGCAGATGAGTTTTGGGCTCCCACTGGCCTCCACAAGGCAGTTGTCTATGAAAGCAGACTGCCTCATCTTACTCCCACACAATGGCTCGTGGGTTTAAACCGGTGACTTTCAATGCTTAACAGCCAAGTGCTTAACCACTGTGCCACCACGGCACCTTTTGTCTAATATCGTACATGTGAGGGGCTCAAAAAAGTTGATGGAAAAATCAGATGAGAAGATAACTATTTACCATTAGGTTGTAATTGAGATATTTTTAAAGTCTCATTCCTTTATATAACTATCAGATAACTTTCTTTAGTTAACATTTCTCTATAGTAAAGCGACTTAAATTCTACTTCGCTTTTTAGTGGGGATGTAGACAGAAACATTTGCAGGCTCTACAAGGAGGCCTGGTGGCCTCGTGGTGGCACCCATGGAAACCCCCAGCCTTTGCGGGAGGGAGAGAGGCGTTTGCTCCCTAAAGAGTTACAGGGTGGGAAACCCACAGGGGCCGTTCTATCCTGCCCTATAGGGTCGCTCTGCTTCAGAATTGACTCAATGATTGCGCATTTGGGTTTTTTGGAGTTAGAAGCTTACTCTTTTCTGAATTTCTCTTTTACTGAGTGAAAACAGACA